AATATATATGGGGAAAGATATGCAGGTTTTAAGAGGAGCCTCTCCCCTCAAAGCTTCCCCCTCCCCCCCTTTTTCTTTTTCCCCCTCCTTCTGTTGGGTAAGCCAACCTCTGGAGAGAAAGAACATCAGAGGAAACAGGGCTTTGACTTACCACAGCCTTACAGCTTAGAGCTTTCATTGGTCTTATTTTGCTTTTCCTAAACTCTCTGAGATTCTGAAGGGAGGACAAAGCTGCCTACCTTGCTTTCATCTGCAACCAAATAGAATCATAGAATCATTTAGGCCAGAAAAGACCTTTAAGATTGAGTCCAGCCATAGAGATAATGGATGCTTGCTTGTATAGCGGCTTAACTAGGTTGGTCACGTCTAATGAGGGTTTGAGCAAGAGTCCTAGCTGTTTTTGCAGACGCCTGCTTTCATTTGAATTTGTGTTTTCAGCATCGGTAATTCTGTACACCTAAGGCTGCAGTATTGGTGGTAGGATGTGCTCTGATATGGATCATCTCTTCTGTATTTATTTATTTATTGCTAGATTTCAACCGCCAACTGCTTCCCCTATTCCCTCCCACCTCTTCCATTCCTGGTAGTAATGCAAAATGAACTGTATGTAGTCATGCACTTTGTATTAATGTATTAGAAATCTATGGAACCTGTTTTGTACTTTTATACTGTTCAGACACTTGTAATCCAAACTTTTTTTTACTAGGGTAATGAATAAATTTAGACTTATTTAGAAAATAAACAACTTCTGCTCTGCTTATTTCAGCTCTGTTCCGTTAATTAGACTTAGTGTTTGAACCAGCCCAGGCAACCCATGTTTCTATTTGAACAAGACTTCAAGACTTTTTTTGGGGGGGTGAGATAATTCTCTTCCTTATTTAATTTGGAAAGAAGAGCGGAGCAAGGGAAGGAGGTGGTGTTTATTGTGATAGACAGCTGTCTCGGGGCAGAATCATAGAGCTTTCCCTTGGCACCGTGTGTGTCAGGCATTCCTTTACTGGGAATGGGTGGTGCTGACATTTGGTGTTCCCGGGGGGGCTTGCTCTCGGTCTAGCTCACCGGCGGCGTTCAGCAGAAGCCAGCTGAAGCGACAGCGTTAAAGGGTTGGTGCTGACAGCATGTGGAAACGTCCCTTTCCAGATCCAGCGGAGTCGGTGGAAGAGACTAGTGCTCCTCTACTGAAGCTGGAGCCTGGAGTGTTTCTTCCCACGGCAGGCGTAGTCAGCTGGATAAGCTCCAGCAGACTGGTGGGAGCAAGGTCTCTCTCTGGCAGGAGATGGCAGTGAGTTTAGAAGAAGATGAGGCTGTTCCCTGATAATGGGGAAACATTGCAACCTTAAGCATGATGGTTTGTTGCGAGAGACTATTTTGGACTTCAGTGGAGGCACTGATTTATTTTTTTTCTGATATGCTGGCTACTTTCTTATCAATGGAGCACGATGATATCCAGAGATTCATGTAGAAATCATTTCAGTGAAAGCTCTGCATAGCCTGCAAGACCACACGATTTTGCTACAACAGCATCTATTTTGGACATATTTACATTATCTGCTGTAGATGCCTACACATGCCTTGGGCATGATTTGGTTCACCTGAAATAAAAAGCTCTATGTAAAGTCACTGAAGAGAAGCAGGTGCACCAAAAGGTGGTTTAGAGCAGGTAAACTTAGTATGTATCCCACTCTTGGCAACTTCCACCCTTTTTCAAATAACGAATTCCTTTTCCTTCTCTCTTTTTACACTGTTGCTGCACACTGGTGACTACAGGTACTGCCTGGGTGCAGAGAACATCAGTGCTGATGGACAGAGGGCTTTTTTTTGTGGGGCAGATAACCTAACGGAGGGCTACAGCTGCAGAGGAGGAAGCTCCTGTGGGAACACTGGGGAGGCAGGACTTGCCATCTTCAGAGCAATGTGAAATGAAATCGGGAGGCAAAATCCTGGGTAAAGCCCTCCTGTGCTTCACCTGAATCAGCTGCCCCAATGACAAGCGTGACATCGGCTAAAATACCTTACAGTGCAAGCATTGTAAAGATGCTTTGCAGAGGATTGTGTTATACTCAAAAGATGAGAAGAACGAGGCATGTGACAAGAAGGTGTCCTAAGCCCTCAGTTCTGGGCATGGGAAAGGACCATTCATGATCCTGCTCAGCCCTTGCCCTCGCTGTTGGCTGTAGACTTCTCTTCACCACAGATGCTGTTTCAAGCGGTCTCGGCCTCAGTGAGAACCTGGCCCCAGGTCTCTGCTGAAGCCAAACACGGTAGTGGCAGAGCTGGAAATGGGCTGGGAAACGTGCTTGTCATGGGTGAGGCTTCTTAGAAAGAGATGTGGGAATCGGGCACTTCGGGGACTGCGAGGAGGTGTGGTGCAGGTGGCTTTTATTGCTGACCTGATGATACCGGGGAGACCGTGGACGTTTATGAGGAGGTTTAAAAGCCTCAGTACCCAAGGGCCCTGCAGGAGACATAGGTGCACGCACATGCCGCCAAACAGCTGACCCCTCGGGAGAAAGGAGCTCGCAGCTTGCTAGCGCGGTTATGTCCTTGTCGCGCCGCAAACAGTCTTCTCCCGGCAAAGCCCGCAGTGCCGCCGGCTTTCACGCCGTCGTAGGTTTTGTGGAGACCGTACACC